CACAAAGGTACACAATAGGCTATCTGTGTTCTGCCCACCTGGTTTCTAGGGTTGTAAGTCCGCAAACACATCGCTGTTCCACTGGGGGGGGGGGCTGAGATGAATCCAACCAAAACTGGGATAAATAACTAAAAATGTTAAGTTTTGAATTTGTCCTTTTCGTAAAATATCCAGTAGTATTAACTCTAACGTTTCAATTCATCAGCATTTTGTGTATAGAATAAATTAATTTCATACTCAATCACGCTATCTTCTGATAGGTGAGTTTTAATTATAACAAAAAGACAAAAAAAAAAAAAAAGACTTTAGTTTATTTTGACTTGAAACCATAAATCTGAAAGGAACGTTATACATTGTGGAAGCCATTTAGAATATACGCGAAAATTATAAAATAATGAACATTTTTCACCACAAAAACTGTGAATGTTGGTAACAAGAAATATAATGCCCACTTTATTTTTAAACGTTCCAGCTCCCTAACCACCTGGCCACGCCGGGCCTTTTTTCAAAGAATCTGACGATGTTTGTTTTAAATACTTAGATATTTATTGCACTGGAATAGCAACAGACTCAATAATGGTATATGTAACTACTAAAGAAATCTTGCCTAATCCAACTGTTTTAGTATTCTTCAATCTTTTACAGTATCATTTATTTCACTTATGGTTAACGGTTTCCCAAATAAACTTGTTAAATTATTTTTTGAATTGTTTAAATTAATCATAAATGGGTTTAAATGTCTGATAACTTAAAATAAAACTTTTTGTAAAATGTATAAAATTCCATTTAACTAAGGTTTCTATTTCAGGTTATTTCATGAAGTTAAAAGGGATTGAGGATGAAATGTATCCCGCTGGACGACTCATTACTCCCACATTCGGGGTCTATGGTCGAGAAAGAGCTTGTCTGACCATTGACTTATATATGGTAGGACTTGGTGTGGAAAGCTTTGACGTTTATCGTCAGGATCGAGAGACGGAAAAAATATACGAAACAAACGGGAATTCGAAAGGCTGGACAACTCTTCAGTTTGATCTAGTCACTCGTAAGGATATCAGAGTAAGTTGTTAGTTAGAGGAATACGTCGAGAATTGGTCTGTTCTTTTCACATGTTATTTTTACGATACATGTGAGTATTATAATATGGTCAACAATTTTCTTTTACTTACGCTAACATTGATTATTGAAGGCCACTTATTTAATCATGCAATGAGACTTATGGCTGCTTTCAGATGGTGAAAGCCCACTCATGTAGATCAATTATTTGATTAACGAGGCTTTTAGTTAGCTCAAGATGGCGAAGAGCCATTTGTAAGTGCTACTTATGTAACCAATGAAGCTGTTGGATGAATACCCCTATATGAAGGTCACTTATTTGACCAATGAGGCCTTTGGTTACATTAAAATAGGGAAGGTTCATTGAATAAGGACTCTCATTTAATCAACAAGATATTTAGTTATCTTATTTGGATGAATACCCTTTCCTGAACGTCACTTGTTTGATCAACGATATTTTTGGCTACATTAAGTGAAATATGTGAAATACACGTTGTTGAGTTTCTTTCCATAATGTCTCTACCACATACACGTTGTTGAGTTTCTTTCCATAATGTCTCTACCACATACACATTGTTGAGTTTCTTTCCATAATGTCTCTACCACATACACGTTGTTGAGTTTCTTTCCATAATGTCTCTACCACATACACATTGTTGAGTTTCTTTCCATAATAGTCTACCACATACACGTTGTTGAGTTTCTTTCCATAATGTCTCTACCACATACACGTTGTTGAGTTTCTTTCAATAATGTCTCTACCACATACACGTTGTTGAGTTTCTTTCCATAATGTTTCTACCACATACACGCTGTTGAGTTTCTTTCCATAATGTCTCTACCACATAGTTGTACGTTTTATTAAATCACCCTATCACTGAGAATTTGCCTCGCCAAACAAGTACAGGTACTAAAAAACAGAAACATACAAAATGCATATGCTAGGAGTAAATCATAATCATGCAGAAATGGCCAAATGGATAAGTGTTATTCAATTAGCGAGGCTGCATCCGTTTCCTTCCACAATAATTATGACTCATTAGGATCAGCAGTATCTGGTAAAATCCGAAGTCAATATTATATTATTATTTTAAATACTTATGGAGTGATAAGATTTGTTTTTGACGCGGGTGTTTTCATTACTCTGTGTCTGATATTTCGTTACTTTGTTGCTTTAACTCTTGCGTAAGGCTTTAAATGTTCAAGTTCATGTGTTAAGATGTTTGGAGATAGTGCAGTCAGCGAAGTCATTAAAGGTTTGCGTTATTTAATGTATGTTTTTTGAAAACGAATTCCGGTATCGGAGAAAATTACCGCTAATGGACAGAGCATAATATATAACATGAAAATATATAAGCCATCATTAGGCAGCATAACTTATATAATGATCAGAGGAGATCTGCAGGTTTGAACGAAATCACTTTTCCTATAAGCCATGAATATACAGCTATACAGCTTTTGCTATTACAAAAAATACAAGCAAACAACAAGATGATTGATATGCTATTACGAATATTATCAAATAAGTTTGTTTTGGTCAATATTTGGTCCACTGATGAGACAGAAGTAAGTTTACGGATCTATAATGCTAAAAATTCGGGTTCGGTTCCCCGCAGATGGCCCAATGTGGCTTTGCTCTAAAACAATCATAAATATGTGAGTAAAATATGTTATTGTTTATGTACGTTTAGCCATCAATTTCACTTTGTTACGAGAAATAATGTTAAATATATGTATGCATTTTTTAATGGTTTCTGTTTCAGTTTTTCCTCACCGGGAACGTGAATAAAAACAATGGCGAAGGAGACATTGCTATTGATAACATTAGATTCAGTCGAAGGCCGTGTTAACACCACATCGGATTAACTATGCTTCAGTGCATAACACACCACCTAAATCTATAATAAATTAATAATAATAATGAAATAAAAAATGTTTTTTCACTCAATGTAATAGTAAAGTTATGGAAACCAAGTATTTGTGCTGTTAAAAATTTGTAAAATAAATTAAACCAATAAATAAAAGAATTGCCTAATCAACGTGTCCTAAATATTTTCCTTCTTTGGATTTTAAGATCTAGAGGCGAGGAGGGGTGGGGTGGGGTGGTAGATATATTTGATCCAACTTCCACCATAGCAGTTTTAGATACAATACTATTATATAGTGTTGTATGTTGAATCTCATAAACCTTTCAACAAGCGTGTGATTGGTGGGTTGCCATCGCTTCTAATAAGTGTTGAATTGTGTGTGTGTGTGTTGCATATATATTCCGACATTATAAATAATTTAGATTTGATCCTACTTCGTATATCGTATAAAACTGTTTCCTTAGAAACATTATTACTTGAAGCAAAATGCATTCACATGATCTTGTTCACTAAACCAACCTAACATCAAACCGATCATTACGGCGACCTGACATAAGTATGGTCATTACGACAACCTTATACAAACTTGATCTCTAAACCAACCTAACATCAAACTGATCATTACGGCGACCTAAGTAT